CTGTTACTGTTTGCAACGTGACAACGTTACGACGGAAGAACAGAAACAAAACATTGCTATCAACATACATTCGTAATCATAACCTTTTTTTTCTTTTCACATCAATCCGAAACAGAAACAGATTGGTATTTATTCAGCATATCAAAAAACAGAATTTGAAAATTTATCATCAATAGAAAATAATGAGACAATTTTTTATTGTAGGAAAATATTTAAGAAGAAATCTAATTCGACAAATGATATATATTAAAAAAAATTAAGTATGATATTTTGATTGCAGTAAAAAGATCGAAAAGCAAATTGGTGAAAAAGTGTTTTAGAATATTCTGATTATTGAAACATATTTTTTATTGTATAGAATGATAGTAATTATCAATTATTCCAATCAATGGATCATTTAAATTTCTAGGAATTTTTGCTAAGCATCCATTAAATGAACATTGCCAATATTTCGTAGCAGTTCTTATTTTATTTAATTTGAAAACATAATCATGTGATAAGAGTAAAGATTTTCCTTTTTTTAAATCAATAACGTAAATAGCTAAAGATGTTGGCTGACATATATCTCCGCGAAGATAAAGCTGCTACGGCCATGATGATAGAATCGTAATAGAAAACATCACTTTTTTTTAATTTACTTTCTGGTTTTGACATTTTTTTCTTTCGACCTTGCTACACATCACATTCCAGTCTTCTTTAATTGATTATATTAGTTGTTAATAAGTAATTAGTTTTATCAAGATTTACTTTTTATCAGGTCTTTTTTTGTATCTTTTTTTTTTTTGACAAATAAAAACTCTAATTGATCATAATTGTTTCTCCATTGATGATTGGATGAATGAACAAAAAAAAAAAAAGCTATTCATAATTCATAAGAACATCTTGGAAATATGAAAATAATATTATGATGTATCGCCAAAGAAAAAAAATACCAACCGGAAAAAAAAGAAATAAATTAGACGCATAGAAGAATAAAATTGATAGATGAATTTCAGACTTACATTAGCTTTATGTCAACTGACATATGTTTGTATAATTATTTACTAGACATCAAAATAATTGCATTAGACAACAAAAGATAGTCCAAAAGTCATGAATGATTTTTTTGTAACGCATGTTCTCATCGACCTATAAATTGGTTCTTTTAATTCATACAGTTAGAATGTAATTTATCTAGAAATACATATCATATTTTAAATTAAATTAACCGTTTAAATATTACACATTCAAAATAAAATCATTGATTAAACGTAAATAAACTAATTGATTTATATCGTGAAACTATATTGTAATTATGTTTTAATTACTTAGATATCTCTAATAGGTTAAACAAATATAATCTGTAACGTAAATTAATTCTTTTTTTTTTCAACCACTTTTCTTTGACTTATACCTTTTTTTAATGTATTAATTTTTGACTGCTACTGTAAATCATTCTGTTCTTAGTGAACTACATGTCAATCAGTCGTTCATTAATTCTCTTTTTAGTATTTGATTTATTTTCTGTCTTAATGATTATGAACGCTAAAAAAAAGAAAAATTTGCATAAGATTATAATTCATCGATAATCTTAAATATTTTCTAACGAAGATTTTTTTTTTTCTTTTTACATATAGAATTAATCTACCTTACCGGATAATATCTAGTTAATCTATTAGAAATACAATTAACCATAAAATAATTATAAAGTAGTTTCACAATTTGAATTGATTACTTCATTTACACGATTAACCTTATTATTGAGTGAGATAGAAGAATCAATTTATGGTCATATTGAAGACTAAGTTTTACTGCACTTACAAGAATACTAATTATACAAAACAACTGTTGTACATAGATCATTTTTCGATCTAATAATTTCTTTCTGATATAAATCTATTGACTGTTATAATTAATTTAAAACACTAAAATCTCCTAGTACAGAACCATAAAGAAAGCCAAATTATTTCGAAATATTTCCATTGTTATATGAAATATGTGAGTTATTGAAACATGCTATTTGTAAACATTAGTACATTATAACTTGTCCAGTTCGAATACACATAAAAGTTTAATTAAGAGAATATTTGTCTCTATTGGCACAATTTTTCTATAGATCAGATCACATTAGAAATTTACCTATCATCTAGATTGTTAAAAGTCATGTTTCGTTCTATGCAGAATTTTGCGCTTAGCTATTTGATAAGGATAGAAAATTGACTCGATGATATTTAGGATGCTGAGCGTTAGAAATTCTACCTTTGCTTTCTTATCGTCAACATTGCTGATAACATCATCAGGCATCTTTATAATAACTTCATTGACAGTTAAATGTGCATTAACTAAAAATTTAGCACTGCTCATAAATTTCTCGATTGATAGACCTTTACCGGGCTTTGTTGAAGGTTTTCCTGAGTGAGAAACTTTAAATAATACTTCATTGCCATGAAAAATGTGATGGTGTGTTAGTCACTAATATATATGGAATTTCAGAAAGAAAGTTCCTACAAAATGTATTTAAGAATAGTATGTTTGAATTAGCCGTCTATGTAGCTTCAAACGCTATTCTATGGTTGTGCCATTCAATCACACAGTCATACTCTCACACTTACACCTTTCAAGCAATCAAAGCGCAGAGAAGGATATCAATCTGGGAAGAATCATTTATTTAACGTCGAGAATAGAAAAAAGAACAGCATTTTAAATATACATATGAGACGTGAGCAAAACGTTATTATATCGCACATGAAATGGTTCTATCAGTTAATGTAATATACACAAAATCCAAGCTCGAACTCATTAGACAAAATCACGTTTTCAAAAGGTTTGGATTGGAGTATGTTTTTGATGCATGTCTAGCTATACATACGCTTGGAATAATAGAGAGACTCAATTACTAGACTATTTGTTCATCCAAAATCGTGCTCTCTAGATTGTTAGATAAACTGGAAAAGAAATTTATCCTTGCATTCAGATTTTGTTTTATTTTTAAGGCAATCGAATATCTTCTCGTTTTAGTAGTAGAAGGACCAAAAAATGGTCTTGTTTATTGTAGTTACTATTATAAAAACTTATCAGACAGCATATTTAGAATCAATGAGAAAATCTTCATAGGATTCAATAGAAAATCGATCATAAGCAAAATTTCATGAGACATATACGGAGGAGGAGTACAAGGGCGTTACCCATGGCAAAATGATTTTGTTAAAATATATGTAATACAGTAGAGATTTTCAAGGTGATTCTGAATATAAATAGAAAAAACTCAGTACAGATTTGATGCAGTTTAGATTGAGTAGGAAAAAAAAGTATTATGTAGATTGACATACTATCCATTATTTTATCATGTTTCTTTCTAACAATGACGACTATCAATCATCGCAAGTATAATATATATACTTGTATGTGTCAAAGTATATTTCGTACGATACAAAACTATATACACGCTCGATTTTTTTCTAGTACTCTACTGTTTAATACTACAGAAAAATTGAATATTTTTCAAAAGGAAGCCATTGACCATCTACTATCATTAGATAGTACTTGGAAATGAATATAATTGTTCAACACTGAGAATTTTATAGTACTTGTTGAGTGTGTTACAGACAAGTGGACAAAAAAGCGAGACTTCATTACTACCAAGTACAAGTAAAGTATGAATGAAGTGCAAGTAAAGTACTAATGAAGTATGATACTTTATCGTAATTCACTGTAGTCTATTAGTACTTCATTACAATTTCAGTTGTACTTCACCTGTACTTCACTCGTATTTTACTTGTAATTCAAAGTACTGGAGTTTTGCCTTTTCATCCTTGGCTAGAAATCAAGAAGAGCATATTCAAGAATATTTAATGCAAGGTAAAACAAATATAGAACATAAAAAATCGAACAATGAAAGACATTACTACTATTGATTATTATCATTAATCTATTATGCAAATCAAATCTACGTGCGACTGTATCATTTATACAAAAAAAGAAAAAAAGGTCATTATGAATCAAATGTGTTAGAAAGAATTCTATTCTGTTTCAAATTCTGATCCTTTTACTTCTTAACTAACGGTCTTTTATCTCAATGTCTTGCTTCGATTTTTTATGCTAATTTAGAAAAAAAAGATTATAAAAACTTAAGAGTTGTTTTGAGAAAAAAATTGATTTTGTGTATATCTATGCTTTTATCAGTATTTAGATTCTTTTTTTGTAACGAAACAGTAACGGAATTGAAATAAATAGTAGATATTCGTAAATAGCTCTTCAAATTCTATCAAACTATATATTAATCAATGAAAAATAAAAATCCACTCCAATTTTGCGCTACGTATCTCTTATAAAACATGAATAAGATCCGTCAATACCAATAAGTAATATTAGATTTAAAATCTTTATGTATGAACTATATAATTGTATATAAATATGATCATATTCAAAATTCTCATGTTTATTTCGCTTTATATCAAATTTCCTTGGTATTAACATACAGCAAACTCATAAATTCAATCAAATATTATTCATGGTCAATGAATGAATACAATAATTACATATATATTTAATCCATAGGTTCCATTATAATGTCAAATCTATCATAAAAAAAAATGTATCTCTATTCTTTTACATACAAATTCATCACGTAAAATTCTCGTACAAAAGAATAAATTAAATAATTCTACATCATAAATCATCTTTTCTTTATTTTTATTTTTTTTTGTATCATAATCTCTCGACATCATTGTTCATATATATATATATGTACTTTGAAAAAAGAAAAACAACAAACAAAGAAAAAGAAAAAAAAACCAAAGAAAACTCTCTCTCACTTTTTTCGTGCCAAATACACAAAGGAAAAAAAAACATACACATAACACACATACATATATATATAAACACTCACTCACTGACATACACATGCTGTACAAAAGATGACACACATACTAAACAAGCACAAGTTGGAACGAAAAAAACAGAACAAGTCAAAAGGAATATAAAAAAAAAACAAATCGAATGATGAGACAAAAAAAAATTCATCAAATTGTTGGCAAACCTTGATGTTCAACAGATAGTATTTTTTGTGAAACTGTTCGAATTATGCTTGATCTTGAACATGTGTCAAGTCGAAAGAAATAAATCAAAAATAAAAGAAATAATAAAAAAAGGCCAAGTAATAATGAACGTAACCATATTTGTTTTAAACGATTCCAATATGAATCTGTTAAAGTATTTAATTTTATATTATCTTTATTTATAGTTTTTGTTTTAGATGAACGTTGAATATGTATTGAATCATCATTAAGATTTATATTTGGTTTTATTAATGGAAATATTAATTTTTTATTATTATCTATTGTTTGTTGATTAAATATTGTTGATGATGATGTTGATGGTGGTAGACTTATATGATCATATTCAATTCCACTATCAACTTGTTGTTGAATTTTTCTTTTTATTATATTCACCGGTTTATTTAATTCAACATCATCATCATCAGATGATTCATGATTTTGTTTTATAGTTGTTGATGATTGTTGAATATTATTTATTGTTTGTGGAATTTGTTTATGATAATGATATTCTCTATTTGTTGTTGTTGCTGTATCATTTGTTCGTTCATAAAAAACTGGTTTAGCTACTTCAATAACTGTTTCAATATATAAAACTTTACAATCATCAGATATATATGATGATGTTGAACTTTGTTTCGTTGATGTATCATCATGAAGATAATGTTCTACAAAAATAATAATATGAAGAAAAAAAAAACATCTGTTAGTACAATCATTTTCAGATTAAAATGTGAAACACGATATATCTGCTGTTACTGCTAATCATAGACGATTGCTTTATTCGAACTATTCTAAAACACATCTTCTCATGATTCTTTGATTTTGTCCTTCAGAAATACAATAGAGAAATGATTCAACCATGTTTTCTAGTCTCAAACTAGTATCTATGACAATTGGTAGCGAGAGGTTCTACTCTATATATTCCTATTAGATCGTGTTTCACAAAAAAAGAAAACTTTGCTTTTTTTTTTGTTGTTTCATTTAGTTTTAACTAACGATTAATATCATTTGATGTTGTTGCTGTTGTATATGTTTCTGTTCGTTGAGATTTTTTTCTATGTGTATTTTGATTAATATCATTAGTATAAAATTGTGAAAATGATGAATTATTATTATTTAAATTAATTGAACCATCAAATGAAACATGTTTTGATTGTGTTTTTCGATGAAATTCATGTAACATTTTTTTATATAAATCTAATTTATATTGACAATGTTTTTTTAATTTTGAATATAAATTATTTGTTGATGATTTTGAATAATTTATATTACTTATTATTTGTTCATATTTATCCATTAATTTTTGAATATTTTGAAGTTCAATCTAAACAAAAGATGGACAAATACAAAACAAAAAAAAATCATAATAGAAACATGTGTAAATGATTTTTTTTTTTACTTGATAATTGTTATTGTATTCACAAGCTGTCAATTTTTGTTCAATCTGTGTTTCAATAGGTAGAAGATTATCAACAATAGTTAATAATGTACGTAATTGAGTTTGATATGTGTCCATTCTGAATTGAATGAAAATAATAAAAATATGTTTAATATGAAAGAAAAATAAAGATCTTACTTATCAGTAAGTTGTTCGAGTGCTCGACGACAACTATATAAATGTTCATCAATATTTGATGATGATGGACCAGTTAAATGTGACATTCGATATTCGTTAAGATGTTCTTCAGCTAAATCAATATCAGTACGATAGGAAACTAATTTCTATATAGAAAAAAACAACAACAATAATATTCGAGATATATTTTATTGTTTAAGTTAATACTTGTCGAGAATCTTGTTCAGATTCAATTTCATAATTAATTCGACGTATTAATTCAATTAAAGAATTTTCATCTAACCATGGATGTTGACGATTATAAATGGAATCAATATGAGATAATTCTTCGTCTAAACGTATCTTCAATTTTATTATTTCTTGTGATATATATAATAATTGACGTGCACGTATTCGATCATCATTTACTTGTTGTCGCATATCATGCCAATCAGATAAATATGCTGAAAAAATAAGATTAACGATGAAAGGTTAAAATAAACTCGAGAAGATGTTAGGCATCTGGTATATGTGTGATCTACTGCTATTATTTTTGTTACAAAACATTCCAATAAATCTATTGATGAATATCTGATAATGATTCATCGAATGTCTGCATGTATATATATATATACATATATAGATCAATGCAACCAATAAAAGATTAATCCTCACAGCATGTCTATACAATACAGGTAACTTTTCGAAAGTGTAAAAACGAAATTCTCATACACATCGAATATAAACAATAATAATAATAAGACAAAGGAAAAAAGGGATTAAATAAAATAAGATATTGTAAAGAATGAAAGTGTAAGTTGTCACCTGCGTAGAAGATAAAAAAAGAGAATCAAGCTTGAATGTATATCTACAGATCAACAATTAAATCAGCTTAACATTTGGCTTTTTTTATTCTCAATATTATAGTAAATTTAACCTTCTCTGTTTCGTTTGTGATGTAATGAAACAAGACACTTACACGATTGTTGTCGAGTTAGTAACGTTGAATCTGACGTCGTATAACGTGTGTAAGCAATGTACGAGTAAGAGTGGAAAAAATAGTTCTTCTTCTTCTTCTTCTTCTTTTTTTTTCGCCTTCCAACCCTTTCTATAGCTTTTAACTCCGTTAGTAAGCAATAAGGATGTGGTGATGTTTTTGCTATGTGTTTCTCTTTTCTATTATCGAAGGACACATTACTTACTATAACGATCGAGTAATACATAAAAGAAAAAGAAGAGAAAAGCATGCGACAAGAACGCAAAAGAGAACATAGCGATTATACATAGGCATGTATACAATAGAATGATATTGCACAATGTGTTTATTGATTAGAAAAATAAGTATCTTCATTAAAATATATAGTTCTTAAACGATTACCATTACTTTCAAGTGATTAGAAATGAGTAACAAATGTTTACCATCTTAAGACAAGTGATAATGGTATCAACATCGTGCCGATTTTATGGTCATCAGCTTCTGAACACATTAGAATATATGTGATGCTTATAGTCTTTATTATATATATATATATATGTATGTTTAAGTATTCTATTGTATTCAAGCACATACATATTCTTAATTTAATTGATAGAAGTGTACAACTCTACTTTTCTTTTTTTTTTCTTAATTGTCTCTTGTCAAGTGGAGACAGACTTGAACATTGTCTATGTGTAATAGGAGCTGCTGCTGTTAGTAATTGTACTAGTAGTCTATATAAAAGACAAGAAATTGAAAAACAATGAACGAAAGAGACGTTAAATAAACACACGCGTATATATATATATATTGAACGGTATACGAGAAAAGAAAAAGGTGGCGTCTATCTCTAATGATAATGGGACAGGACGGATAATTTATGTCTTAAATGTTTATGTGGGAAAGTGTAATCGATGGAGTATCGACATTTAGGACAATTTAACAAAAATGGAAACTCCCTCACTCTTTCCGCACTTTGATATCAATCATAAAGAATGTCTCTTATCTTATATTCCGGATGTTCACATTTCATTAGAAATCTATTTGTTTTTCATGATAAAATGAACTATATTTTAATGATTTCCGTCAATGATTGAAATGAAATTATTTCATCTTAAAAGAGAGTTATAAAGGCGTAGTTGACATGCAATAATTTGATTTAATTGATTTCTTTCGTATATACTTTAAGATAAATTCCTTACTTTGTAATTGTTCAATAGCTTTTGTACTATTAAGACGTGAATTTTTTGAACGATGAATATTTTTTAAAATTTGTTGTAAACATTGAATATTTGTTTCACAAGTTCTTAAAACTTCATCCTAATTGACATAGATAAAAATAGAAAAAGACAACATCATTAATCGATATGATTAATAAAATAGTAATTTACATATTTTCGAAGATTACGATCATTTAATGCAAATGGTTGTTGACGTTTTTTTTTGTCTAAACTTTGTCGTGCTTTATATAATTGTCGTTCAGTTTCGTTTAAAACGTAATTGAAATCATCTAAATCTGAATCTGAATCTAATACTTGTTTATTTCCAATGAAACTAGTAACACCTCCTGTCAATGATGATGATGAACCACCGTTATTCTAAATAAAAAAAAAAAAAAAAAGAAAAGGATCATCATCAATGATTGTATCATACATATATATACATATGTAAAAGCTTATCCCCGAGGGCGTCTATGATACAAATGCACATTCTAATTATCCATTGTCAAACGAATATACAAGGATCAAGAAAAATACACAAAAAAAAACAAAAACGATAGTAATCGATTTTGAAAGAAAGATTTTAAAGTATCGAATGAATTATTTAAATATTGTCAAAAAAAAGAGAGATAGATGCTCCAAGAAAAAAAAACCAATCAGCACTCAATAAACCTTTCTTTTCAATACACTAATCGTATTCATCTGTGAAGGTCGATAAATAAAAATAAAAAAAACTAACAACAACAACAACAAAAAAATAGTATTTATTTAAATATTGTGAATTCAATGGACCGTACAATAGATATGGATATGGCTAATTGAACATTTTCGTTTTTTTTCTTTTATTTTATTTTTAAAATTATAAATATTTACCTGAGTATTTTTTTTCATCGTATCTTCTATTTCTTTTTTTAAAACTAGATACGCAAGTTTGATAGTCCAATGATCAATATTAACAACCCACATCAGAAGACATCGGAAAGACAACAAACCCACAAAGAAAAAAAAAAGAAAGACGGCTAAGCGGAAAAAATTGGTGGAAGAAGACGAAGAAAAAAAAAAGAAAAAAAAAGGCATCTCTCATTTTTTTTTGCTATTCTATTCTTTTCTACCCCTTATTTCTAATTACCATAGTGTTGATGACGGCATGAGCGTGTATTGAATTTTCTTTTTTGCGTATCTGTGCATTATTAGTAATACACAGAATGAGGAAAAAAAAAGAAGCGAAGAAGGGAAAAAAATATAGAACGTTCAATTTGAGAGTAGGATGTTTGCCTGAATTTTTTTTTCTCATAGATAATAGAAATTGTCAGACATTAATCTACTTTCTGTGGTTTGTATCTATTCAAAGAAAGAAAAATGCGTCTGACTGTTGTGTAGGATACAAATGATGAGCAACAAAATAAAACGAAGAATAAGTGAACGTTTGACCTCTAACATTGTTCAGTCATTCTTCTATTGAAATAACCAGACATGGATATGAATACATCAAATATATATATGTCCTTGAAATGATATCAGAAGAAATAGTTATTTTACGTTTCATTACCACTTGTCATCGGAAGAAGTACATGAGTAAGACGGCTTCTTATTGTCATTTACTTTGATGTAAAGAAAACAGAAATCAAATTTTAAACTGTTCCCTGCATATATATATATGTGATTTATAAGTAGCAATATCTTGTGAGCTGTCGGTCATATACAATGATTGTGTTTAGTATTTAAAATAGTATTGATAAGTGATGTATACATTATTTCAGATCTTTTCGTGTCTTTGCATTTTTTTCTCGTTTTTTGATTCTTAACTTTTCAATCATTTTATGTATAAGACGGGAATCTTGTCAATCTTAACGTTTTTTTTTTTTTTTAATTAGAACGAGAAATATTAATAGATTTTATAAGAGGTGAAAGATCAACCTTGAGACGTGCTATAATCAATAAAATTACACTTGGTAGCATTGTTATAGAAAAAAAATGGAATATATAGAAAAGAAATTATTAATCATATAAATTATTACGATCTATTGTATGAAGGACAAACGATCAAGACTTTTTTAATGATAAATTCATATGTCTAGAATTGCTTTAAATGAAAGAACATATTGTGAGAAAGAAAAGCTTTTTCTTATTCCTTTTCGAGATAATATTTCATCTGGGAAAGGTCTAAATGCCACTAGCTGAGCTCTAACTAAAGCAAAATTGATCAGTGATTTGTTTATATAGACATTACTATTCGATAAATGCCATCATAAACATCTCTAGGGACTAGTTTGATAGATCATTTTAAAATATCATTTATATCAAATCTATGACCGAATAGTTTATTTATCAATAAAATAAACATTAGTTTATAATGATTGACTCACTTTTACAAATTCCAATAACAAAGTCTACGTTGTATCGACTGTCTATATGAATGAATTTTTTTCGTTTTTTTCTTTATTCTTGATGTAACTATATATTTTTACTTAATGTAAAACGTTGAAAGGTTTCAGACTAAATAAAATACTTGAACAAACGAAGCAAAAACGAAAAAAAGATGGAATTCATTTTCATAGGAATAGATGTTTTTCAAGGTTATTTTTATCCTTTCTATGAAATTTAAAAAAGTATGACATTGAGTCTTTTTGTTTTCTTTTACTTTTAAAAAGAAAAACTTTACTGTGGTTTTTTTTTTTGTTTACCCTTAGAATATATTTAAAATTTTCATTTAAATGTATTTCATCGTCGGATGATGAATTATTTGGTTGATCCATTTCTAAAAATTGATCTTCCCATTTAAGTGTCGTTTCTATTGAATCCATATCTTGAGAATTGAAATGATAAAAAAGTGGATTCTATAATTAAAATATATTAAATTAGAAGAAAATTTATTATTGAAAATTTATTTACTTGATATCCGTCCCAACACGGTTCAGAACTTTCAAATTTTTCGTTTATAATTGTATTAAGTGAATTAAATCCTACAAATAATCAATCATATACAATTGAATTATTCAAAGAAAAACTTTAAACAAAGTAAAAAGAAAGCAGTTCTAACCATCTGAAGCGACTGCCGATGGTGAAGTCAATTCATCACTCTTCATTTGAGATACTTCACCTATTGAAAAGAAAAAAATAAATTATGTAACTAATAAGAGTCAAAATTCTCTTGGGTAATAAACACTGAAAATTCTCTTTGTATTGTTTAAAAAAAAAAGTCAATATAGAACTGACTTGAACTCATTCTAAGACAGAACAATCATTAACATATTCATGTTTTCTTACCGTTCTCATCATAGTATTGAATTTGTTGATCTTCCGTTTCAGATGGTGTTGTTGTTGTTTCTAATTCAATATCCGATGAATATCCTGTTGTTGTTGTTGTTGTTGTTGTATATCGATTATAATATTGAGATTCAGAATTTTGATAATGATGAATAGGTGATGTTGAATTAAAATCTGATGATAAAATATCAACATCATTTTCTGATTGTTCAGGATCTGTATATTCAGCACTTGCATCATAAGAATTAGATGTTGGATTTAATGGTAATTTTTTTTGTTTTATATTTGAACTTGGTGATGATAATGTTTGTTGTTGTGAAGAAGATTTTATACGTTTAAATTTTGTATATTTTTTACTATACATAAGTAAAGATGGTTTTGTTTGTTGTGTTTTTGTTTCTTCAATACTAAAATCAATATCAGGATTTGAACATGTATCATATGCTGATGTTATTGAATGTCTCCACCATGTTGGTAAATGATGATAATGTTCAAATAATGGTAATGAATGTGTTAAAGATAAAAAAATATTATTATTTGGTATTGTTTGTCCAATTAAATAATCACTTTGACTCTTTTTTATACGATATATTGATTGAAGATTTTTATGTGAATGATTATTTTCATCTTCACTTTCATATCCAATGTCTAATTTTGATAATGTTTTTTTTTGTTTCTTTGTTATTGTTTGATCATCAATGTCATTTATATTTGTTAATGAATAATAAAATGTTGATGGAGAATCAATTGGTAAGAGATTTAATGACATACGTCGTTTTGATGTTGCCATTTTTCTTTGTATATAAAATGGTTTTGATTGAATATTATTGTTAATATGTTGAATTAATGGAGATCGTGGACGTTTACGATTATGTATTGCAGAATTTAAACTATCTATACTACTGTTCGATGGTGTTAAAGGAATTTTTTCGTATTCACTTGAATTAAATGGAATAATATCTTCTTCTTCTTCTTCTTCTTCTTCTCCTTCTTCTGCTTCTTCAGTTTCTTCGCCTTCGTCGATTAGAGTAGATGAAGTTGTATTCTAAAAAAACAAAAAAAAAAAAAAAAAAAGAAAACACATTAATGAGTTCATTTAATCAGTCAACCTGAATTAGAATCAGGTTTTTTATTGTTGCTTTGATCTTTAAGATAGTCTTAGTTCAATTTCCGAATAAAATTAACGATTGCCTGACTCGAGGTCACTTAAGTTTTTTTTTTTTACCTGTGTAATAATGTATCCTACTGATGTTCTTGTTACTACCGACTGTCTTTCTCTCTAAGGACATACAATGTTCAATTAAGCAAAAGCGAATATGGAGAGAGAAAAACGAGGAAATTTGAGATTATGAGGAGAAATGATGACGATGATGTAATCAATGTCTCTATTTCTATATTGCTCTTTTCCTGTTCGGTTGACAGGCTGTATCAGCCTTCATACTTCTGCTGTTATCATTATTCACTCGTTCAGTAATTCATTCATTTGCTCATCAGCGAACAAGCAATAGCGCTGAAGCGCAAATCCGTTGACTAGTTCTTTATTGTACTCATACATCAGAAAAAAAAGAGGATACAACATTGTAATGTGTGAATTTGAGACAAAGGAGGAAAAGCCGAAGCATCATAAATTACGTTAATCACAGAGAACATACTTGAACAGAACTAGTTTCATGGTCAAAAAGAATAATATGTTCTTTCTAGCTGTCAATTATTCGACAAATCTATCTATCTACAATCTCCTAGTTGATATAAATCATAGTCAGTGACCGTGGCACTCTATTTAGTATAGCACAATAGAAGAGAAGACGAGAATGATTCAAATTACTTTTCGCTTTCCTCTCTCTCTCTGACTCCGTCTATGTATTTAACTCTCTTTCTCTGCATGTATTCAGTTCCTGTCTCTGTCTGCATTGCATCTTTGACGCGACTTCAATTTTCTTTTTTTTTCTCTTCACCACACCAATTCTTTTGTTATTCTTCGATAGACAGATTCTAACATTCATACATATAACTAACAGAAGATTAAAAAATAACGAACGATGTCTTGTGATGATGACACACGAATAAACGGATCAGCACATATATATATAGACATATACATGCGAGAAAGAAAATCGAGAAGGCCATATGACTGATTGTATATATCGATGTTCAAGCATATTGTTTTTTGCTCTGTTTATCTAAGTAAACTAACAAAATTATTTCTATATAGAAGAGATCCCAAAGGATATAATGAAATAAACATCATTTAACCTGTTGTAGAGGTCGACATTCTATCTTCGATAGTTTATGTCAACGTTAAACGTACTGATGGCAAGCATATGCCAAACGACAAATAACAAGCTGACACAAAAGTCCATATATATATATATATATCGGATGAACGAACACATTTATTTCTTTTTTTCAATATATTGGTCAATCATTTCTTACGGGCAACAGATCGGTTTCTTCAAAATAGAAAAAAAGAAAGAAAAGAATATTGGACTTGTCAGGTACTTACAAGTCATTTCTTTCTGAAACAAAGACAAGGAACAGAAGGTCCATCATATATTATTAGTAACTTATTCGGTCATGTTCTATACTAATAATCAATAATTTATACAACTGGGGACGATTTTGCCTCCATTCACACCCTTTCTCATTTTGTTTGAAGTATGTCATCCAACATACGTCCAAATGTATGTTTAATTTCACTCATATACATATTACTTCTCCACCTTGTCTTTCTTCTTTAGTAAACGATAGATAGAGAAACAATAAATTTTAAAAAAAAACTTACTTTCGCCTAGTAAGATTGAAGTAAAAATGCAATTGTTAAAAAATCGACAATCATTACAACTGAAAAACGCTTTGTCTCTTTTTTTTCTCTCTGTTCCCAGTGCGAGCAGCCATCGGTCGAAATTGTTAGACAATGAACAATAAAAAAAAAAAAAAAAAAAGAAAGAAAGACCGACCGACTAAAGGAAGAGAGAAGGAAAAAAAATGAACGCTTGCGTTTGCTCTCTTAGCTCCTCAAGTACGACAATACGTACATGAGCTGTACCTTGTCAGTCAATAGAAAAAGAAAATTAAACATCTAAATGCACACACACATAAACTTATATATATACATAGGTCAATCTACTAATAATCTAAAGTCTTCTCTCTATAATATATGGCTTGGTAATTAACAGGAGAACAGGCATCTACCAAGAAATAAGATAATGATATTAGAAGACACAATGATAGTATTGAATCATGCTTACGAATTATACATAAGCAGATGTGCATGCTATTTCAGACATGATGTCATGAAGTAGACATAAAGCAAAAAATAACTACCACAAGTGTCTATACTTCATTTTTTTTTCTATTTTATTCAATATATATTTCAATTAGTAATCAATAATATATTAGCATTTTTTGAAGGCAAAATATATTCAAATTATAATGCAAAAAAAAAAAATCTTGCTGGAAGCCAAATTAATCAATGATAGGCACAGAAAAACCTTACTTGTAAAATCTTGAAACGTTCTTCAAGTTTACATTGAATTTCAACAGAATTAATCCATGTTTGATGCCATCGATTTTCTAGATCACTTGCTAAATCAAATGGTACTTGTTCAGCTTGTTGTTCATAATCATTTTTTAAACGTTCACAAATTTCAATAATTGATGAAACACGACTATTTCTTGATTTAATTTCGTCTTGTAATATCTAAATTATGAAGAAGAAAAAAAAATCATTTACACACTCATAATAAAACAAAGAAATCAATTAATCTATTGTAACATTGACCTATTTAAGAAAAAAAGTTTTAACACCTATTAAAAATGTCTTACCGTATGTTGATGAAGCTTAAATTGAAAATCTTCTAATGAAATGTCATCACTTCGATTTGATTCAAATGTCCATAATTGTTCTTCGGTTTTACTAAGCCATTCTTCAAATAAAATTAATTCACTATGTAAATCTAAAGAATACAAAAAAAAATAAATCGAAGTATGATATTCTGTATTTCATTAAAGAACTAAAGAAAATAATACCTTGAAGTATTCGATCAAAATTTTCATCTAAATAATCAATAAAACATGATTCAAGTAGATTCCATTGTCGATTAATTCTTATCATTTTATCATGAATATTTGATTTTAAATCAGGAAAACGTTCATTTAATTTATCAGCATATTGACCAAACATACGTAAACGCATAAGACCTTGTTCATATAATTCTTCATAATATTTCTAACAAAAAAAAAACTTTTTTTGTTTTTAATCATTTTTATTTTCATTTACTTGTCGAAGATAACGTGTTAAAGCATTTGTTGAAACTTTAGTTATTGTTTCATAAATTTTATCACACCAATGAGATAATTCAGCATATTGTTTTTCAAATTCATTATAAGATACATGATGAACAGAAAGATCATTTAGAGATGCAAATGGTTCATTCAAAGAACCCTAGAAAAATTTTTCTTGTAGTTTTATATTTTTTCTAATATAAATATATGAAAGATTGAATCTTACTTTACAACGACAAATAAGTTCTTCAGACATGAGATAATTATAATCATCTACTAATGTCCCGTTCCAAAAGTCTTGTCGTTTATTATGTTCTTTGTCTTTTATACTTCTAAAAGAAAAAAAAAAAGGAATATGTTTAGTTAACTAAATCATACATCTGTATAAACAATAATTTAATAGATCATATCTATCCATTTTATGACATCATCAAAACAAAAAATAAATAACTTAATCGACATATGCTTACATCTAAATAGTAATGCTCTGTTGTACAATATTCATATAAGCAAAAGAGAAAAAAAAAACGATTGATTGTGATCGATTTATTTATATAGGCAGATGTTATAAATTTCGAGTCAAATTATACTAATGGACGTAAGAAGAAAAGACATAGGATATTGAGCAGATGTGTATGTATATATTGGCTACTTATAATGACAATACTTCACTTTTTAAAAGAGAAAAAGAAAAACCGACGAGTCATGTATAGATGGTTGATAGGCTGATGACCTCAGTGTTAAGAGATTGCTCAGGTGAATGTAGAAAAAATTACAAAGCTATTACGTGTATCATCGTTTCTTACGCGACAGTGACGAATGATACAATCAGTTCAAATCGTGCCTTTTTTTTATTATATGAAAATCAAATAACATGTTATCGACACAACGTATTTGAGATACTCAGAACGATGCGTCAGATTATAGCACATTATATAGAAATCCTTGAATTGTCTAAATATACAATTATTTGCCCTTCTATAACAATAGTCTTTCAAATCATTTATAATGGATACACAATATATATATATATATTGAAAATGTTGATATTTTCAGTAGACTATTATAACATCATTTGAGTGAATGAAGAATTTTATTTAGATTATATTTTTATTGACTTCTATTATATGTCGGTATAGAAAGAGCAATATGAAAGGACTTTTATTTTCAAGGTATATAACCTTGCTATATAGGTTGAATCAATCTACCGTATATTTAGATTTATTATCAAGTAATCATTTTCTATTCGGTTTTAATGATGATGGAAGGTAAAAATATGTGATTAAATTTTTACAGAATATGAATATTCACCTTCTACTTGTTATTTATTTAGTCTCGATAAAAACGATATATTTATTGCTTTTAAATACTTATAAATGCGAAAAAAAAGGTATTGCAATAGCTCCAATTGGGAGATTTATACAATCAACAATCAATTAAAAGCATTGCAAAATTAATCATAAAACAATATACTATATATACGTATAATCGAAAGATGTCGACTTGTCACTGTCGCTAGTTGCTGCGGTCAGTTTAATAGATTTTATTAATAAAAAGTAAAAATATAATTCTTAATTGAATGGAAATTTAGTAATAAAACATACTAAAAAAGAAAAGGTTAAAAGATTTTTAACCCAAAGTCTTTCTTTCAGAATTCTCATGTACTGACTAAACTACAGTTCATAACTAAGGATACTGAAGAAAAAAACGAATTATGAAATTTCGTGCTAATCATTTTTTTTATACTTAAACTTAACAATTCTTCACACACAAGTTTTTTATTGTAAATGTGGAAAACTAAAACAAGGTCATATTTCATAACACAGGTACAAAAAAAAACGAGTTTCATTCATCGTCTAATAGTTTGTAGAGATAGAGATTGGTTCGTGTATTTTTTTTTGGAACTGAATTGAATCGATTTCATGTCACATAGCTCGATAAAGATACATTGATTACATTTCAAACTTCTAGGATATGAGAGTTATGCATAAAAAACATATTGAATTAAAATATGTGTCAAGACAACTCATCGTTAATTGAAATATCTGTAAAATTTTTATTACTCCGAAACGAAAGGAACATTGACACGGAACATTTCGAACAAATTTTTTTGAGTCTCATCAAAATTTTTCGTTTGGTGATAATATGAAGTCATAGTTTGTGAGAAATTTTTGAATTGTCACTCAATAAACTATTTGAAACCTTAAAAATAAACCAATGAATAAACAATTTTAACTCTTGTCCATTCATTTCACTAGTTTTTTTTTTTTTTGAATGAAGAAATCCTTTTTCTGTAGTCTTAAAACAACTGATATTATATAACTGAATTTGATCGCAATTGGAAATTAATCTATGTATGACTCTTATCAGATGGCTTAAGTTCGATTTGATGTAATCCTACTTTTCATGTGTTTCATATTCTATATCAAAGCTACTCCTTCGTATAATTTCAAAGTAAAGTCTTCTATACCTGTTATGGTAAATGTAATGTAGAAAAAACAGCCACTAGTTAAAATGAAGGATTTCAATTTTGTCTTTATAGCACATTCATTTGTTTTCATTACACGCTATGCATTAGGTTTCAATGACGCCTTTTTTCTTTGACAACGTCATTGTAGTAGACGTAGTCATCTTCTACTTACTCAATTTTTTTGTGTAAAATTGAAGGACTTTTATAGCAAATGAACAACAATGAAAGAAGAAAAGAAAAAAAAAATTAGGTAATGGAGTATTAATTACACTCTCAGGATAAACTCTAACATAGGAAAATTATTAAATGGAATAAAAAAAAAAGACAGATAAATAAAAATACATACTTATTTGATTTTGACAAAAGTACAGGATATATAGATGAATTTTTATCGTCCATCGCTTGTTGTATGCATAAATATTCAATCGATAATGTCAAGAGTCATCGTTCTACTTCGTGATCTGGAACAATAGCAAAAAAAAAAGAAAATGAATCAGAAATAAATGTGTGTTGATAGATCTGTCAGTCAGTCAGTCAGTCACTGCGATGCTATGTATGTGTATATAAGTGAATTCCGGAATTGCTGTATTCATCACGCATCTCTTTCCGTGTATAATAAGTCTTGTTGTTCTGCATGTGGTGTAGCTATGAGTGAAAAAAAGAATAGAAGAATGGATACAAATCACTCTCAGCAATGGGTAGCACAACTATTTCTTCTTTTCATATTCAGGACGATGATGATGATGAAGATGATGGACGAAGGTCAGGCGTACACATACACACACACATTCAACTTGCATTGATGAGATGTTTATATTCACCTCGTCAGAATGCAAATATTTCGTCTATACTTATTCTCATAGTACAAAAGAAGAAGATTGAACTAACTATGTAGTACGGGATAAGAAAGGAAAAGAGTTTGCATTTTCAAATAGTGTATAAACATACAATGACTACAAAAGAGCATATAAAGATCATCGTGTCAAGGTCGCTTTTTTTTGTCTACAACAAAAGCACCCGTTAGAATTAATTAGGAGAAGATTAGTCTTTCTTGCCACTGTCTACTATGTCAATCCGTCAACGATATAGCCGCCAGTGATGCTCAATTCTGTACATATGCAGCAAAGAAAAAGATTCACACCTTCTCGGCAGACAATAGAATACGTAGAGAAAATAGTGAAATTACAAGTAAATAGTATCATTGATGAAATTTTTCGATACATGTACATACGTTATCGACTACTATGTACAGGTACAAGGTCAATAAATCGATGTATAGTTAATAGAATATGTCACCTGGCATATGTTTATTTCTATAGAAACATTTATATTTCCTTTTTGTTGATTCTCATAAAATTTTAACAAATTTATTATTCTTATCAAACAGTAAAACTTACTATTATGAATAAGAAAAAAAAAAGTCTAAAAGACATTAATTTACGAAACAATGTTTTTAAAATTCATCTATAAGGAAAGAACAAAACAAATATATAAATCAGATTTTCATCGTTTTTTTTACTTTTTCAAGTGAAATATCCTTATCATACTTATTAATATATCAATCATTTACCCACTAATATCAAGGTGATTAATAGATAGATATATAAATATATATCTATATACAGTAGAAAAGAAAAGAAGTATGAATAAAATTGTTTTAGTATGTTCATATATATTCACCCATAGGACAATCATTATTGGAGTGTAAAAGAAATAAAAAAAGATTTGTCTCATCAATAGGTTGATTTTATCACAATTCATGTTGCTTGTTAAATGAGCAGATGTGATCGTCATGCAAAAACGTCTTAATTCCCTTGACAACAAGTAATCAAGTATATATGGAGAGAAAAGAACAGGCCTTCCAGCTGACCATCGGTCATCATAGCGGCAGCAATTATCGAATTTCAATAGATTATTTCCGTCTTTACTCTCTCTCTCTCTCTCATTTTCACTCAAGGTTATTCTCTACAGGTGAACTTGACAGAAACATAAGAAAGTGAACGGACACAATAGCAACTAAAGAATGTGTAGTTCCCATTTGTATATAATTATAGAGTAAAAACAAAGAATAAAAGAAAAGAATAAAAAAAAAGAAACGTTGGTATTAGTATATGAATAAGCAAAATAATAAAGAATTTTACTTACAAATCATTATATTTGTTTCTAGAAAACACGATAAGATCTTATTCGAATTTAACTTGACCTTAGAGCTGTTCTATATTCAATGTAAAGTGTTCAACATCATATTTAAAGAGTGTCCGACAGTGAATCAGAAAAAAAAGAGAGACTACTATACTGCTATTGACAAGTAGTATGTCAAGCACTTTGTTTTGTTGGCGCTTTCGGTTGGACACTCTTTTTTTTCTCTCTCTCTCTCTTCTTTATCGCTCAACACTTATGCACAAACATAAAATATTTTACTTTAACATTCATTGACCACCGTATCAATTATACGAACACGCCCGTGATTATTACCATTTGAAATGGTGCAACAGAGACGATAATTGCTGGACAAATAAATACACACACACTCCAACATTACCAGACAGGATCAGTCGTTAACAAAACAAAAAAATTCAATAAATACATTACACATACATGTTTGTATATATATATATATTTATATATAAATGTATATATATATTTCCTAACAAAGCTGTCAGAGCTGCGTAACAAAGAAAAGTTAAATCGATAAATCACATAACGCAATCTAGTCGCTATCATCTTTCGTGTCCCATCAATTTCAAAAGAAGATGACGACACATGATGTTATCGCATGTTTCAAC